GAACGCCTCTGGGACCTGAGCTGGTCCAACTAGCGCAGTCTGAACATGGACCTCCTCATCCTGCTCTAATTGAGGCTTGCTGCTGCGCGTGCTCTAGGTTGAGCTCAGTCTCTACTTCTGCCTCTAGCTCTACCTCTGCCCCGACCCCTAGTAGTGGTTGTGACCTGGGGCTTCGTCTCCTGATCGGCTATGGATGATGTGCGTGTCTTCACCATCTGTGAGAGAACAAGATTAGAATGGTTCAAACTTCAGCAATAGAATATAGTCGCACGACGAAGTAAGAAAGAAGCGAAATTTCCTAAAGCCTTATAGCCTCTAGCAGTGTTGTAAATAGCGCTCGCGTCAGCGCTAATAGCGTGAGGCGAGGCGATGCGAGCTGCCATCGCTATTTTACTGTGTGGCGTAGCGTTTTCAAAAAGGCGAGCGCCTTTGCCTTTGTAGCGTGTGGCGACCTGTAGCGTGAGGCGAGATGTAGCGTCGCTTTTTGCAAAAAAGAAAAGAAGAAGGCAGTAGCAGCGATCTGTTAAAACAAAAAATTAGGGCTCGCGATTTCTTTACTCTTTCTCCTTCAACTCGACAGCAAACCTACAGCAGACCAGCGATTTCCTTTCTTCTTTCTTCATCAGGTATGCTTCTCTTCATTCAGACCAACGATTTCCTTTCTTCTTTCTTCATTAGGTATGCTTCTCTTCATCTCATTTCTTCTTTCTTCTTTCTTCGAGTTTATATTCTGTGACTCTGTCCAATTTTTTTTCCTTTTTTCTTCTTTCTTTTTGTTTTGGGCTTTGTTTTTAATCGCTGCTGCTGCAACAGAACAGAGCATCACTATGTTACTCCGTTTTTCTTCCTTTTTCTTTTCTTTGTCTTTCTTTTTGTTTGGGCTCTGTTTTTTATCGCTGCTGCTACAACATAACAGAGTCTGTGTTACTCTGTTTTTTCTTCCTTTTTCTTCTTCTTCTTCTCTTTTTTTTTGGCTCTGTTTTTTATCACTGCTACTGCACTCATGTCTTTTCTTCAGTTCAGAGAGCTTCTTCAGTTCTTCTTCTCTTCTTTTTTTCTTTTTTCCGCTCTGAAGTTTCCTCCTTTTTTTCGGTTAAAGAGTTAGAATTAATTGCATATTGACTTGATAATTTTTTCCTATAAAACAGTATTGAAATGGCGTCATCCGATAGTAATAAAAGAAATGATATAGCTTAGGATTAGCTTGAAGAAGAATAGATGTTGCTTGTTAGTATGAATCTACTATAGCTATATATTGAGTTTTTAATTTTTTAAAATTGATATATTTATTAATATATTATTATTGCTATTTGAGTTTTTAGTTATATATAGAATATTTTATTTTTTTGTATAAATTGTCGCTTCACAGCAAAAAGGCGAGCGCTTCGCTGCTCGCCTCTCGCCTCAGTGAAGCGGACCCTCGTCGCTATTTGTCGACGCACGCTATCCAAAACACTGGCTTCTAGAAGATAAGTACGGACGTCTCCGTACCGATCCTCTAGACTCTACTACGCTTGCTCATGACTTGTGATACCTAGGCAACCTAGTGCTCTGATACCAACTTGTCACAACCCGAAATCCCAACCGTGGGGCCGTGATGGCGCTTGACACCGAATGCCAGGTAAACCGACATAAACAGATAATATAAAAAGAAAAGCAGTAGCTATCTAATGACTGATCAAAGACATAACATAAACCATCCCAAGATTTTGGTGTCATAAGTACATGAGCGTCTAGATCCACCTAAATACAAGGTTTGAAAGAAATACATCATTGTCCGAAATAAAAGGAAACAATACAAGAAATAGGAAAATGACTCCAAGGTCTGCGAATAGAATGCAACTCTACCTCGAATCACTGAGGTAGCTGCTAAATACCTCTCGATACTCTCCTGGTACCAACGTCAAAATTTCTTTCGGCAACAAAATCACAATCAATCACGGCTTATTCTTTCGGACAAGCCTCCAAACAAACCGAATCTAGCCAATTATCGATCAAATAATTCAAAACAAGCTTTAGAAACCACCCTGAGTGAAAAGGATTCATTTGTGATCATTTTTTAAAAAGTCAACAAAAGTAAACCCCGGGCCCGCTTGGTCGAAATTCAAGATTCGGACCAAAATTCGATTACCTTCACCCTCGAGTCCGTTTATGTGATTTGTTTCGAAATCCGACCTCAATTTGAGGTCTAATCTCAATTTGATAAAATTCCTAAATTCTACCTAAAATCCCTAATTTCTACCATGATATTCATAGTTTTGATGTTAAGCATTCATGAAAAGTAATTGAAATTGATTGAAAAGTAGTTAGAGATGCTTACTAATGAATTGGGGAGAAAAAGTTCTTCAAAAATAGCCTCTAGAGTGTTTAGGATTGAGAAATGGTGTAAAATGAGCTAAGTCCCGATTTTTCCCTCCTTTTATCCAGTTGCAGATGTCGCAATTGCGAACTCTTGTTCACTCATAAAAGCAGTTAGTGCATCAGATGCACAGAGGTTGCAAATGCGACAAAACCTTCGCATTAGCGAAGGCCCCTCCCTCCGCAAATGCGAACTAAGCTTCGTTTTTGGGAAGCTGCCCCCAAGGTTGTTAGAGTTGCAAATGCGAGACTCCAGCCGCATTTGCGATTTTCCAGCCTTCGCAAATGTGGTTCCTTCGTAAATGTGAAGTTCCCCAATCCTAGTGCCTTTCACAAAAAGCGATCATTTGGCCACAAAAGCGATGCTCGCAAATGCAAGCCATATCTACAGGCTTGCACCAGCAACTGCTGTACACCGGCACTCCCAAAGTCATCTGTAACACGTCCAAAACTCACTTGAGCCCCTCAGGCTCCAAACCAAACATGCACACAAGTGTAATAACATCCTAAATATTTGCTCGCTACCTCAAATCATCAAAATAACATCAAATAACAAGAATCGATCATCAAAACTCAACATTTCAACTTGAAAACTTAATTTTCACAATTTTTCACATAATGCGCCGAAATGCATTCGAGTCACCCTGGACCCCAACCAAACGTGCGTACAAGCCCAAAACTCTCATACGAACCTACCGGAATCGTCAGAACAACGATCTGAAGTCGTTTACCAAAAAATATTGACTGTGGTCAACTATAGCCTCATTTTAAGTCAAAAATCTCATTTTCTTTAAAATTTTACGTAAAAGCTTTTCGGAATACGACACGGATCACGCACGCAAATCAATAAAAACATCAAATGAAGCTATGGGAGGTCTAGGAGCACTGAAATTAAGGCTAGTACTCAAACGACCTATCCGTTCGTCACGCACCTATTAGTACAAAGTAAGGTTATGTTAGGTATCTTATCTTTTATGTAACAGAACTTTAAGGTACAATGGGGTTGAATTTTCTTTCACGAATTGGCTGAGAGGTTCCCATCAAGATGTAATAACCTTCTTTTTCCTTGCTACATCAACCCGTTAATGGAAGTAGGGTGCAAAATGAGATAGGGAAGCACATCTATTTACTTTTTTCTATTTTTGTTCCTTGGGTTTAAATACAAGTGAACTGGAAATAGTCCATTGATTTTCTCCTAACCTCATTTCTTACCCTTTTAATGAGTATCTTTGAGAAAACAAGGTAAAATGTTCGGTTTTTTATGGCTGATGAATAACAATATACGACAATTTAATTGACTTGTTTTAAGAAACACCATTTGATTATAAAGATAATGTTAGTGGTCAAACTTATCCATTCATTCAATGAGGTTTTTTTTTTTGATCATTAAGTAGTTTGATTCAAGGTGATCACTGTTATAAGATAATGTAAGTGGTCAAACCGTAGGGTAACCATGAGAGAAAGAAAAAGAATTTTGCAATTGCTTCATTCATTCTTTTTCTTGACAGTAATAGAAACATTGTAGGCAAAGAGAAGAACTAGAAATTGCAATACTACAAAATATTTAGTTTTAGTCTATATAATATTTGAAGTCATTTAGTGAATTATTTTTTATTTTTATGTTCTTGACAGAACAACTTTTTCTTCGAACAGTATGTAGCAATTTGTATCAACACTGTATAATAATGTATATACACTAATAATATATAACAGTGTATAAACACCTCTGATACACTATTATACATGTTTATACAAGGTTATGTATTGTTTTAAAATAAGCGTATAGTATTGTATAATAATATATAAAGATGTATAAACACTATCGCAAAATAATGTTGGCTATGCCGGTGAAAATTGAAAAGGGTGGCTATGTGGGTGCAATACCCTGTGTTGTAGTGTAAATTTCGAAGAACTCCCAATAGTATACCACGTGATCCTATTAACCAAGTGAACACCTAGCATCATCCTCTGGGAATTGGTAATTCGAGTTGATGCATATGTTGAGCGGTGAAGTAGCGGCACCCTCTGATTTTTGGAGACACAAAAGGTTTACTGTTTTATGGGATTGAGCATCTATCTATTCAGTTAACACTACACTGCTACTGAGATGTAATATCTGAAGAGATTAAATAAAATTGTAAAAATTTTGATCTACCTAGAATACATGATATTCCTTGTGATATCAAACTGTAGTTTTTATATTGAAATAAGTGAATCTCCAACATTGAGGTTTTCTTTTTTCCTTGGTTAGATGCTTGAGAAAGTACTCTATTTGGATGTGCTAAAGTTTCTGCTAAAACTAATAGACCATTTTAGAAGTAGTTTAATTGTGTTAACAGCCACTTTGAAGTGGAAGTAAAGAAGGTATTCAGTAGGGTTCTGACCAATCTTTTACAATCTCTAATGTGTATGTGGCTGTTTGCTTGCAGCCTAGCGGTGATCGCCTGACCTTTACTGGTAATATTCGCACTTGAATAATTACCCAAAGATCCATCAAAATTAAGGAAAAGCAATGGGATAGGGTGTTTTTCATTACATACCATTCATTATAGCAAACACTCAATGGAGTATGTTTCAAGCTAAGTTTCTGCAGTTAAGTATAATTATGTTGATGAGATTTAACTCTTAATCTGCTGATGCAGGTCGATGTGGGAAATTTTCTCCGCCTCAAATCATGTGTTTTGTACACAGAACTAGAGAATTTGTGTAGGCCTCTGATTAATGTAGAAGTGATAGCTCATGTTATGCGGCCGGAGTTGCGTTCTAGTGAGGTGAGCATTGGCACTCTATAGAATAACATATTGCTGTATTGATATTATTGATATTAGTGCCTTATGTGGATCATCTAAAGTTTATTAATCTTTATTTTGTAGGTTATTTGAACTATCAACTTTTTTCATGCATGTAATTAGTTCTTACGTGAGAAAATGCTTGTTCTCGAAATTGAGTTTTCCTTCAAAATAGTCCATCATTGCCTACGATATTTCCTTTTTGTCCATCAATTATTGTTGTTAGCAAATCTAGTCTTATTTTTTGATGAGTAAATCTGGTCTTATTAACTCTTCTACCTTCTGACAAGATGGATCTGGTATTTATTCCATCAAAAACCAAATGAAACCTCCCTTATGACTCACTTGTGAGGAAATTTTGGTCTATTGGTTTTCAGTCTACCAACTTAAAGGTTTAGGCGTTTAGCTAATCTTGTCTGCTAATGCCTTAAGTTTGTTTTTTGGTTATATGATTAGAAAAAGTGTTTAACCGATGTATTACATATGTTTGGGAGAAACATGTATTTTCTTTGTTAGAGTGTCCCACATTAGTTGAGGAAATGCGTTGGTCTTTTTATATGGTCTTGGACAATCTTCACCTCAAAAGCTAGCATTTGAGGTTGATATGAGCTGAAGGTCCATTTTCTTAATATGGTATTAGAGCTAGCCTGATTTCTTATTGTTGTGTTTCCTGGTGTTGGACACCCATGTTATGTTATCTATACTACAATTGGAATGAGGAGATGTTGGAGTATCTCACATGTTAAGGGAATGGACTTTGTCTCATATAGTTTTGGACAATCCACACCTCATGAACTAGCTTTTGGGTAGAGTTAGACCCGAGGTCTATTTTCTTAACATCTTAATTATTGATTAAATGGTAACAACCAAATCAACACTAAACTGTGGGCCTTCAGGGCTTTAGCTTAGTGGTAAAAGCCCAGAGCGTAATGTGTGGGTTAGGTGCATGTCATGAGTTCAAACTTCGCCACAAACAAAAGTCCGGTACTGGCATGCCAAATACACTTGGTAAAGACAGATAGGATGCTAGAAAAGGGCGCATTTCAAGGTCGAGTGAGTGGTTCTGTGTTGATTTGTCGTCTTATTCTCCATGTTTCCATTGTTTATAAACTAAGAGAAGTGCATATCTATTGCAGAAACTTCCATTCAGTATATTGGTCAAACACTTGGAATAGTGATATTATTATGTTAAAACATACTTAAGACTTGTGGAACTTTGGGGAAGATATATATTGGATGACCATTCTGTTATGGTTAAGGTCGTTGATATTAACAGGGAAAGCAATGGCTGGACCCGCTTTTTATTTTATTTTATTGAGAAGTAGCAAGTGTTAGGTGATTAGATTTGCTGAAAATGACCGTGATAAAAAACCAAATTAGGGAACAGTCGATGACTATAGTGGGGGAAAAAAGGAAGGATAAAAGAAAAAGTTAGAGGGGGAGATAGAATTTACAAAATTCATGTTGTGACTTGTGCTCTACTATTCAGATAGATTCATTTCATTGTTTTAAAACCTCTGCTGATTAGTTGCACCATGCTTTTCTTTTTCAGGTTTCAAACAATTTCTATTTCACTTTCACTGTCCAACAAGATTCACTGAAAAATGGTAAGCGGATTAGGAATGTCGTCCCTGGTACAGAGGAAGAAGCACGGCGTGTGATTGAACGTATGGATGCTGAAAAGTCATGAAGTTTTATTTCTTGAATAGCATCATTTGGCAGATAGATTCTGAGGAAAAGCAAGACAATGTCTGAGGGCACTACTTGATTTTGAAGCGGAGCAAAGATGCCTCCAGTTATTTAAAGCAACCACAAAAGCTATTTATTTCTCTGCAAAAAGGATCGTAGGCAATAATTTAAAATGCTATGTCAATAACCAGTTAGATTGCAGGTACAGAGAGCTGAGAAAGCCATCCTTTTGCTTTCGTATTAACTAGGTTCTTGGAGATGTACTAGATGAAGATTGCCCGTGCTATCGCACAGGCCCAACATATTAAGCATTCTGCTTGTTTTTATTTCCAAGTGTTCTGCTGCCAATCGAACAGTGCTCCATCTATATATAAGAAATTGGACTATCATAACCAGTAGGCTTTTCGATACATCATACAAAATGGTAGGATTGTACAACATATGCAAAAGAGGACATAAAAAGAATCTACAATCAACCATAGGTAGCGATTACAACCAGGTATATTGATGCAATACCCATAAAATATAGAAAATGTGCATCTTCAAGCAAAGCAACGCGTCAAGAATAAGCAGACAAAAACTTTTGTACGGTTCTAACACTCAGGGGAGGAAGGATAGAGGCATCATATTGAGAAGTTCTCTCGGAGAAGTGAAGGACTTATTTTTGGGAGAAGAACCTGGATTCTTTTTTCATGCAGCAGAACATACCTCATGTTTACACGTCCTCTGGATTCATTTTTGTCACAGTAAAGTGAAGGTTTAAACTCTGACATGACATCTGTAAAACTACAGTCTTATCACACCTTGAAAAACTTCTAAGAAAAGAAAAGAGATTATAGCTGTCACACCTCCTTTTTCGCCCATTTTTCCAATTAAAGTACAACCGAAACGAGATTTATTATTAAAATTCAGAGTGCCACTTGGGAGATTTATGGTGTCCCAAGTCACCGGTTTTTATCCCGAATCGAGGAAAAAAATGACTCTATATTACAGTCTGCGTACCAGAAATCCGGATAAGGAATTCTGTTAACCCGGGAGAAGGTGTTAGGCATTCCCGAATTCCGTGGTTCTAGCACAGTCGCTCAACTGTTATATTCGGTTTATTTATCTGATTTTAACAATTATGCACTTGGTGCAAGTTATGACTCTTTTACCGCTTTTATTATTATTATTATTGTTATTTTAACAAGGAATTGCAACGTTGTGAAAACGTATCTCGAACCTCGTCACAATCAATGTACTCGTGGTTATTGACACGTTTCGACTCCGTTGAGATTTGGATTTGGGTTACATAAATGCACACCCGTATTTAAGGACGTAATTTATTAAAGACGCGTCCTAAAGAGACTAGCGTATTGTTATTTTTGGGGAAGGACCATGGAGTTCACTAAGCGGTCGATCCCGGAGTCTATCCATTTATTATGTCTTTTTATCGAGGGCCTCGCAACTTGTGATTTCTCTGGCGAGGCACGCCTCATTTTATTTTAAAGGATCGTCGTATAGTAACTATGTTTTTCTATTTCCGTCCGTTTCTAAAATAAAAGAAGAAAAGTACCTAATTTATTTACATGTTTGCGGGTTATTATAGTTAAGTTTCGAATACGATTCGTTAATTCTGAAAATGATGCAATAAGGGCGATCCGTTTGCTATTTATGGGCCCAGGTCCAACGTATATGGGGTAAAACTGGACCCGGGACATCCTTAATCCAATAGGGTCTAGTTAATGGTTTCTACACATATTCATAGCTTGCAAAAAAAATGGTGTCATTTTTGTTAACAGATTTCTGCAAATTTAAAGTGGCATTCTACTGGAATGAAAGCACTTGAAAATCTAATTTTTTTTATCCTAAACCATTTACATGCATGAAATTAACCAATGATATCGAATTAAACAATGTTCCTACCAGTTTCAGAAACAGGCCATTTGTTCAATGAGATAACTATTGAATGTTTAAGAATAATCTAAATGGCCTAACATGCTTTTGATATATACTATTTAACAAATAATACTGAAGTAACAGAACAATAATTACTATACCATCAATCCTTCTAACCAAGCATACATGAGCAGTTTTCTCACTAAACTACTACAAAAGGCATGTCCAGTTATACATAAACAAACACTTACATGATTCTAATGAAATAGGTATTCTAATGTATATACAAATAAATAGACAACTACAATGAATTTAAAACTTCAACTCTTTATTTCTTTGTATTCATGCTTCAAGTTTCAGCCTACAAGAACCAGTGTATCAATTTGTGTACCTGGTATTTGGAAAGCAAAGAGAAGAAGAGGAAGATCAATGCAGAAAACAGCAGTAGCATACACAGCCACACAACATTACAGCAACAACCAGTAAACCAGTAGCCAACAATAGCAGAAATCCTAGGAAAGATTAAAACCAAGCAGGAAAACCTATGAACTCATTGCAATCAGTACTCCAACAACAGAAACCCAGGAAATACTAAACTGAAACCCAGCAGTACCAAAATGAAACACAGACAGACGCAAGGAAACAGTAGTTTCTGATTTGTCAAACACTCAAGAAAAGCAGCCTGAAACTCTTAATGTAAAAGTTCAGCCTTAACACTTTATCTCTCTCTGGACTTTTCTCTCAAAAATCCAGCCTTAGCACTTAAACTATTTCCTGAACCTTTTAGAATCAAAATCCAGCCTATATGCACTCTATTTCTCTGGAAAAATTATCTCTCCTCCCTCTCTCAAACTTTTTCTTCCTCTTTTTCAATTTCCAGCCTCAACACCCTTTTATACAAGTCTGCCCTTCCTTTCCAACTTACTGCCCGACCCCCTTTTTTCACTAAATCAGAATTTTCCACTAAATTTCCCACTAAGTCTGAATTTTCCACTTAAAATCCCACTAAGGAAGGCTTTTTCTTAATTTCAGCCCCCCCCCACTCCCTTTGGTTCCCCATTAGTGTATTAATTAATGTCCCACTAACAAAACACTAACACTAAAATATTATCCTAACTGTTTCATTCCTAAATCACCCCT